TAGCTAACTCCAGTTTCACCCCCCTTTCACTCTGGGAAAGGAACAAATTTACTCCATCATGAAGGAGTAAAATTGCGCTCCTCCTCTGTGAGTAAAAACGCTTCCATCAGAAAGTGATAGGGATGTCATGCAAATACGAAAAATTCGCTGTCGCTATGTCTCTCATTCGTGCCTTGACCTACCTCTGATTGTACTGTTTACATCATACGTCAGAGGGTGGATCACCTCTCTTAAGTTCCGTGGAGTAGTCCGGGGTACCAGCCCTAAATACCTCATCTAATTGAGGTATGAGAGAGAGAAGTTCACGGACACTCTCTATACATTAAAGATTTCCTGTGCGGATAAATGCACGCTCGTGTTCCAAGGGGCTTCTCAATAGGAATATGAGCTTGTTTATGGCATGGACTCTATGAATACGTCTTGAATATGTGGATAACAAATGATGGAATGTCCGTGTTTATTGATTCCCATAATGAGACTAGGCGAGACACACGGCAAGGTACTAAACAATCCTGCGAGGGAATATTCCAGGGAAAGAGTGAAGGGAACTTTTGTGAACAGTGCGAAAAGCGAGACCCTTACCTCCATCTAGTGGCTTGGCGAAGAACTTCAAAGTGTTCACTTCAATCCGAGCGAAAAGAGAGTATTTGGTGAGTAATAAGGGAGTAAATTCGAAAAGCTCACGGTGTGCTCACTTTTTATTCCCCAAACGCTCGGAATTTTCCAAGAGTGTATCGCCATGCTTAAGGTCTTGTGGCCGGATCCGTCGCATTCTATTGAAACGTCTTTGCGGCTGTCGCAGGCCCTCGACGCCGAGCGAGATTTCATGCCTATCTGGTTTCGCTTTGAGGTGAAGAGCCCTCTTCCCGTCCCCAGTATATTTAACTCCGGCTATTTTTATATACAGCATCTAATAATACAGGGCGTTTCATTGAAATTGTACATCTTTGAACGCTCATATCTCTGAGAGGACGCAACCGTTCTTTACGAAATTTGACCACAATATAGAGCAACCTTTGCCAAATTATTGGACAGAGTTTCTTAATCGCAGCGCCATCTATTGAGTTGAAACACCGATTCTGACAAAACCTCTGAAACCAAGATCTTATCAACTTGATGAAATCTTTTAAAGCTCATCATTCGTTAGATAATGCCTTGATCCAGTGGTGCTGAAAATTCCATGATTGTATCTCATCTCCTTACTAAGATATCAATCGTGAAACCTTAGCCACTTAACACATCCGCCTACACTTAATACTCTCAATGCCACGGATTTTTCCGATGTTTTGGCCTGAGCCCCTGTTACCATCGCCCTGACGCATGAGGCCTACGGCGCAA